CCGTCGGGGCGGCTCCTGGCCGGGCCCCGGCCCCGCTGGGCTCTCCGGACCCGGGCGGGGGCTGGTCCTCGGCCCCCCAGCACCGCCGGCACCTTCCCCGTGCTCCCAGGAAGGGGCCAATCCCCCAGCCACGGGATGAGGTCTGAGCAGTGGGGTGAGGGTCCCCGACCCACGACCCTGCCCCGCACAGCCAGCTTTCCACGGAGCTGGCGTGCCCCCAGTAGCGTTTCTGTAAAACCGTGTGGACATCTGGGTTTGGGGGGCGAGCAGACACAGTCTGATAGCATGGACTGTAAGGCCGGGGCCCTCGCGCTGTCCAGATGCTGCCAGCCACCCCACAGGGGCAACAGTCCCACACATTTCCTCGTGTAACTCATGAAAAACTCATCCCCAGCCTAGTTCAGGCAAAATGATCCAGCTTTAAAACAATCCAGTACAAAGAAAAATGTTCACACTCAACCAGATCGCTGCTGATAACCAGAGTGTTTCTTCTTCCATTCCTGGCATATTTTTCAGCCCATGGACACGCATGGTGATTTTCAGGCTGGTTTCCTAATGGAGAAAAAGGTTGCACTACTAGGCAGTGTGCTTATGTAGGGCTCTCTGGTGGTCTCCTCCTGAAAACTGCTTATCTCTTTGGCCAAATTGAGGCAAATGTGGCTGAGGGAAGATGGTCTGGCAGCCTTTTATTATGGAAATGGGCAGCTGGATGTAAGAGGAAAACCCAGTCTGGTGATTCCAGAGGGAAAGTCTCCAACACAAGCTCAGTCATATGAATCAGACATAGAGATGATGAGCATCTCAACCCAAGGAAAAGTTTCAGACTTCAGATCTTGAACATAATTCAAAAAATTAGGCCTATTTCCAACCGTAATCCACAACTCCACGTGAATGTAGGCTTGCTTAGCCTGGAACTGCTCAGGAAGCTACAGCACATAAACATTGTCACCTATATGGGCCCCCGGAGGAGCACTGCACATTTCAACTGCTTATGCCTTTCCCGCTCCTGTTGATGTCAATGTTGATCGTGGTTGCTGAAAATAATAGAGGTGCAACGAAGGGGAATAGAAGTAATGACAAATAAATGGGTAGAAGTAAAGAATACAAAGTAAAAGTAACACATTTGCTCAATCTTCAGATACAGTATTTAGGTCATGTCCATGCTTTTGTATTTTGTTTTGTATAGCTGTTATATTCAAATAGATATCCTATTTGAATATTGCTATTTGCACCATTTATTATATCAATGAAAATAATCTACATATGTAACTATTTACATATATAAGTCCAACTTTCATATATGGTGCATGTGCGTTCCCTCATCCCCTTCCATGGGAATGTTGCTAACAGCATGATGATGAGAGCTCACTACTGTGACCTTTTACTATTGAGAGAGTCTTCGTTTGGGTTTGTTAAAAATCTACAGGTAGAAAATATCCTGCAGAATCACCAAGGTGTAAGTTAAGATAAACCAGGGGGAGCAAGTAAAACAGCAATGTCGAAGTGATGGAATATTTGCTTATGTGAGACTGGATTTCTTAAAGGGTGGAATAGAGCTTTATCTCCCCTTCCTCTCCAGCATCTCTCGATGCTGTACTTATTCCCAAACTATTGTGACTACATGACCTCTCATTCAGATCAGAAATTAATCTGTTTCTCTTGTGTATTGGTCCATCAGTAGACTCTCACACATCCTCAGCTTTCTGTCTCCCTGCTTTCCTGAGTTTGCCTAAAGCCTGTGCTTGACCCCAGTGTTTCTATCCAAACAGCTGGATGCAAAATAACCTTGGACTTGAGCTGGCATTTAGGTCCATGGTCAGAATTCCTGGAAACCACTCAAAATAATCTTGACCTCAATTGGGAAGGAGCTGTTACCTGTTTCCCTTGGAAATGGTAATGGACCTTTCATGATCTGTGGCCAGCACTGCATCTCAGAACTTTATTAGTGGTCCACTTGTCTGAACATGCTACAAGCATATATATTCACACAGAGGTGAATGTTTGCCCCACACAGCTTATGTGGTGTCCTGGAGAAGACTTGTCCCCAGTGTGAAATCCTGGAAGATCTCTCTGGTGGATCTTCCCTGAAATCCAGCCCTGAAGACACTGACCTGAACCCAGGCTCCCTCTAAGAGGTCTTTAGGAGCTTCCCCACTGCCTATTGCAGGGCTGAGATTCAAAGCCCAAGCTCTAGGGTGATGTCTTGGGGTCCACAGTCCTGGGCCAGTTTGGGTGCTGGAGATGTCTTACGTGTTCTGGGAGCTTCCACAGATGCTTGGTGACAGTGCCTGGAAGAAGACCCATGAAAAAACAGCGGTTACCTCATCAACTGCAAGAAGCAGGGTATGTATTTTATTTGAAAATTTTTCTTTGGGTGTTCTAAAAGGAATTTATTTCTCTAAAAATGGCCAGGCTGTGGAAAAACATTTTTTACTGAAATGAAAGCTATATATAAATATATATATATAAAATAAATTGTGTGCATATGTGAGTCTATGTATGTTTATTTTAAGTCTTGACAAACGAAAACTCTGCTCTTCAGCCAGCTCTGCTGCACATGCAGCCTAAGAAACATTCCTGGGACTGGAGAGTGAACAAGTTGAGTGTGTGATACAAGACAGCGGATAATCCAACATACAAACAGGATGAGGAAAGGATAGACTCATCACTTGTATCAGAATAAATGGCCAACCAGCCCACCAACTGCCTTGATTTTGTTGAATGTTTTGCTGGTGCAGTTGGAGAAGTAAACTTTAAGGAGAGATTAGGAAGAGTGCACTATAAAACGAACCTCATAGGAAGCTCCTTAAACACAGAATTGGGCAAAACTGGAGATGCTTGTGAGGTAAGCTGAATCAATGGACCATGAAGATCGTATCAAAAGCACAAGAAAGGCAGAAGCCCATATAGCAACACTGTAGTTAAGAAATAAGATGAGATAAGACACGAAGTTGTCAATGCTAGCGTAACAGTTGTGTTGAAACTGTTGAAAGCTGTGTGGGGAAAAGAGTCGCAGAGGAGGAAAGCACAGCAGGAGGTGGTCATGTGGGTAAAGGAGACCCATGCACTGTTATAAAAGGGCAGACAGAAAATGGACAAATTATATTTGTCAAAGGAATTTACATGAATCTAAACTATGTAGGACTTGACTGAGGTTTGGTTTGAAGGACAGTGAGTGAAGGTCAAGGCTCAGAGACGTTTGTAGGAATATTAAGCAAGGGAGGAGAGTGGAAAAAAATATTAAAAGCCTGAGAAACTAGGGACTGATTATGAGCTATGCTGAATTAATGGTGGTGTGTTAAAAACCATAAAGACATTTTGAAAACAACTACAAAGACAGAGCCTGAGCAAAGAGGGATATTCTGTGTTGTCCCAGTGAAGGTGATAGATTAAGCCTTCTTCTTCTCTAGAGTCACCAGGGGAAAGCGAGGTAAGGGAAAGAGAGGGTGAAACAGGAAAGTCTTTGGGACTTAGCTAAAAGACAGTATGAGCAGCATGAGGGAGTTGTCGCATCCCATCCCTGAGAAAGAAGAAATAGATCTGGAAAAGATTGCCTCAAAAAAGGGCCTGAAAGAAATGAAAGCTGAAGAAAGTGGCTGCAGGTGTTGGAGGCAGCTGACAGTTTGAAGAGGATGAGAACAAACCGTGAGCCAGAACTTGAAAGAGCTGGTTGGAAAACCTTGAGAAAGCAAGCACAGGTGGCATGTCCAAGGGAATAGTTCAGTTGGCATATCTTCTGCCATCAAGAGGAGGTGTTTAGTGAGGTGGGATATTGGCTCATCCTGCAGCCACAGCTAGTGTTAGTTTGCTACTAGTTGTTCAGCTCTACCAGAGCTTTGTGGTATGCTCCCAGGTGACAGGCATATTTATTAGAAGTATTATAATACCTGGCTAAGGTGGACTTGCTCTGATGTTATCCTCAGAGCTGCTTCTCCACAGCTGATCATAAATAAATATTTTAGTAGGTGACTTAACTCCCCTATTTTCAATTTATAGAAAGGTAGCATAGGAGAGAATGTTTTCTCTTAAGTGTGGGTTTTGGAGGCTGACAAAAACTTAAGCAGTCATATGGAAACAATACCTACAAAACCAGTGCCTCATAAAGAGTACTCTTTCTCTAAAACCTTGCAGTCTTGAATACTTCAAAAGTGAGAGATCTTTTTCTTCATTACAAGCTAGGGGTAAAGTATTCTGCTCATTTGGAAGTAACTTGCCTTGGGTACTTCTTCTTTAATGTAATATAAGTTGCTGTTGAGGATTTCAGAGCAAATAAGTCAGAAGAAAAAAGTCTGTAAATATATTTTCAGCAATTGTTTTGATCAGTAGTCTTTAAATAACATGTCCCACTTGGTCATCCAGGAGCTAAATTTGTCATTAGTTCATGTCAGAAAAAGAGTATTTTCGAGCATAATTATAAAATGTGAATTAAAGACCAAATTTTCATGTAATCCGCTATC